AAATGTACTGTTACTTCTAATTTAAAAGGAACAACAGTTTAATCAGCTGTGCTATATACTTTGTGTTCCATATTTCATATTTTTTTAAGAAAATAAATGACCGTTCTGGTTAAGAACCCATTTTGTTTAATCCTCATCAAGATGGAGCTAGAACTTGGTAAAATGTTAATAATTTTAAGTTATTTTATGGAAGTAAAAAATTTAAACTACAGGTTTCTACTAAGATACTACTTTTTAATGAATAAGATCTAGCATAATTACATTTCATTGTTGTTATCCCATTTTAAAATAAAACTCATACATTTGCATATATTACCCTCACTGGGCCAGTTCAGTTTCAGTGCTGATGGGCAGTGTTAAGGTATGTTGAGTTGCCTGTTAGTCATCCATACCCACGCTTATTAAAAATACATATCCCCCTCCACACTAGCTTAAAGGAATAGTAAATACTTTTAATAAAAAAAAATTGAACTCTTCCAATAAAGTGCCAGTTATTTATTCCAGAGACAGATGAACTTAGTATTTTGTTTTTGATTTTTTATTACAAGAACAAATATCTTTTGGTTATTTTGAATATTTATGTGGCATTTATTTGGAAACCGAACATATTCTTATGACAATGAAAATATTTTGTATATGATACAAAAGAAATTTAAATGTTAATATGAAACTTGTTCCCATGTAATGTACTAACTATACTCATTTGTCTGGGAGATAAGGTTAAAGCGTCTTTTGAGAATGAAGTCATCTATGATGATCTACAAGTACATTTCTGATAGAGCTGAAGGTTAATACTTCTACTACCAAAATTTATTTATTTTAATGATGGAAGTTTAAAGCCTTTCATGGTACTTGAACTTTTCTTTGACTTAGGCACATTCAAATTATATCTTTTTTTGGGCTGGGCACAGTGGCTCATGCCTGTAATCCCAGCACTTTGGGAGGCCAAGGCTGGTGAATCACTTGAGGTCAGGAGTTTCAACTCCTGGCCAATATGGCAAAAACCCCGAATCTACTAAAAATACAAAAAATTAGCTGGGCGTAGTGGCGCACACCTGTAGTCCCAGCTACTTAGGACACTGAGGCACAAGAATTTTTTGTACCTAGGAGGCAGAGGTTGCAGTGAGATGAGATTGCGCCACTATACTCCAGCCTGGGTGACAGAGTGAGACTCTGTCTCAAAAAAGAAAAAAGAAAAAGAATTATATTTTTTTGTGCTAGATGTTGTGAATTATGAAATTCTTTATTTTCAAGTTTATTTCCCCTTAATTCTAAATTGTAGTCATGTTTCTTGTGGTATTGCCTGTCTATAACCTGACTTCTCTCTTCTGTTTGCTGTTGCTAATATATTTTGTTTATTTGTAATCCACAAAACAAAACTTAAAAAGTTGAGCTTTATGAAAAGCAGAGTGAATTTCTCAAGAATAAAGTTCAATGAGATCACCTGGACTCGGGAAGGGAAACATCATACACCGGGGCCTATCATGGGGAGGGGGGAGTGGGGAGGGATTGCATTGGGAGTTATACCTGATGTAAATGACGAGTTGATGGGTGCTGACGAGTTGATGGGTACAGCACACCAACATGGCACAAGTATACATATGTAACAAACCTGCACGTTATGCACATGTACCCTAGAACTTAAAGTATAAAAAAAAAAAAAAAAAGAATAAAGTTCAGGTAGTTAGTAGAAAACTAATGTTACTTTCTTTTTGTAGCTGTATTCTGGATATGTGCTGTTTAATTCATGGTAACTGGCCACATGTAGCTATTTCAATATTCAGAAATTATAAAATAAGAAATTTGATTCCTTCCTCAGTTGTAAGCACTAGCCACGTTTCAAGTGCTCACAGTATGTGGCTAATTGCTACTGTATTGGACGATCCCAGTATAAAACTGTTTCATCATCTCAGCACATTATATTGTGCAGTGCTGTTCTATATGGTTGAAATAGATTTTAATAAGATCTTGTTTTTTTTACTAACACAAAGATGGAGCAGAGTTTCTTAACATAAAACTAGTTTAACAGAATATACTCTGTTACTAAGTTCGTTTATATTTCTGTCTCTCATGTTGCTTTTAAAGGCGAAGTTAGCTTTAATAATTTATTCTTCTTTGTAGTCCAAAATGTAGGTTTGAGTACAAACGATCTGAAACACCTAGTAGGTACTATTGCTATTGTGGAAAAGTGGAAGATCCACCTTTAGATCCGTGGCTTGTGCCTCATTCATGCGGCCAAGTATGTGAGCGTGAATTTAAACCTTCTTGTGGCCATAAATGTTTACTCCTCTGTCATCCAGGTGAGTTATATATTGCATTTTTAATTGTTTGTGGGTGATTATTTCTTCTTATGTTGAGGCAAAAAAAAAAAAAATTGTAAAAGTTGAATTCACAATTGAAGTTTGCCATGAGAAAATATTGAAAGTTATTGCCTTTTGTCAAGTATCAGTAAAGAAAGTTCTAGAAATTATTGATAGGTGTGGAAATGGAAAGTTTTAGTTTCTGACTTTAGTTTTTTTTTTTTTTTTTTTTTTTTTGCTTTTACTGAATTCTAGGTCCCTGTCCTCCTTGTCCAAAGATGGTCACAACTACTTGTTACTGTAAGAAAGCAAAACCTATCCCTCGTAGGTGCAGTGCCAAGGAATGGTCTTGTCAGCTGCCATGTGGACGGAAGTTGCTTTGTGGGCAACATAAGTGTGAAAATCCTTGTCATGCAGGTAAAAGGCCATACCCATTAGATTTTTCTGACTTAGCAAAAGTCAATTTCTGTGCTAATTTATCGTTGTGGTTTTAGGAAGCTGTCAACCTTGTCCAAGAGTTAGTAGACAAAAGTGTGTCTGTGGCAAAAAAGTAGCTGAAAGAAGTTGTGCAAGTCCACTATGGCACTGTGATCAAGTAAGTTTATATGCATTTCGAGGGGTGGGTATTAAAGAATACACAAAGCATAGACAACCTAGAAAGCAGCAAGGCTAATCAGGTTTAGTTGGATAAAAGGCAAGGAAGAATAGCAACTCAGGTGAATTATATCATGTTTTAAGAAACTACTCTTAAATTTAATATCATTTTTAATTATTAGAGGAAAAATTTTTTTCAAAGTAATAGGTATTTATTGAATTTTGGATTCAGTACATTTGTACTCTTTCTCGCTAGCTCTTGTCCCGTTCTTCTCTTTCCCCTCTCTTCAACCAGCACCCCTCTCTGCTTCTTGAATTAATCAAATTGAGGAAGTAAGATTGGTTTTATAGGTTGCTTGTCCTAGAATTGGCATGGTTTTAGTGCCACTTAGAACTCCTTGTTCGTGAAAGGCCATATGAAGCTGCATGTAGTTTTTTTCTGTATTGCATTTTTAAAATATACTTTTTGGTGCATAGGAAATATATGTGTGTGTAAACGTATGTATATATGTACCTATATATATGTATATGTACCTATATATACCTATGTATATATTTACCTATATATACACATATGTATGACACCTGTATAAAATATAAAGTAAAATAATATGAGGGACATAAGCAGTTGTTTATTTGTGATTGAAAAATAGATTGTGTCTTGTATGAAGTCCTTTTTGTTAACTTTTAAATCATTAGTGTTTATTGCATTTTATTTTAGGTATGTGGAAAAACACTGCCATGTGGTAATCACACATGTGAGCAAGTTTGCCATGTTGGTGCTTGTGGAGAATGTCCTCGATCTGGGAAAAGGTTCTGTCCATGTCAGAAATCAAGTAAGACTTATTTTTTTTATATATAGGAAATGAGCTATCAAGCCATGAAAAGACATTCAAAAGACGTGCTCCAGGAAACTTAAGTGCATATTACTAAATGAAAGAAGCCAGTCTGAAAAAGCTACAAAATTTAAGCCTCCAACTATGACATTCTGGAAAGGTCCAAACTGTGGTGATCAATGGCTTCCAGGGGTTGGGGGGAGAGAGAGAGATGAATAGGAGAGACATAGAAGATTTTCAGGGTAGGGAAACTCCTCCGTGTGATACTGTAATGGTGAATATATGTTGTTATACATTTGTCCAAACCTATAAAATATACAACACCATGAGTGAACCCTTATATAAACTATGAGCTTTGGGTGATTATGATGTGTCAATGTAAGTACATCATTTATAACAAATGTACCACTCTGGTGGGGTTTGATAATAGCAGAGGCTGTGCTATTGTCATTATTATGTAATAGGTTATAGGTGAGTTTATTTTAGGCTGCTTTCAGGTAAAGGCATAGTAGGATAGCACTTTGAGTCAGCTTCTTTGACTCCCCACAAATAACAGCATCATATGTATAAGACTGCTTCTAATACTTGTCACAATATGTTTATGTTAAAGGTGAGTTTTATAATTTTGTACTTGTTGCAGTTTTTTAAGAGAGGTGGTTTCATTCTGTTGCCCAGGCTGGAGTGCAGTGGTGTGATTCTAGCTCACTGCAGTCTCAGACTCCTGGGCTCAAGTGATCCTCCTGCCTCAGCCTTCTCAGTAGCTGGGAATACAGGCACCTGCCACCATGGCTGGCTCATTTTAAAAAATTTTTGTAGAGATAGGCTCTTCCTATGTTACCCAGGTTGGCCGCGAACTCCTGGCCTCAAGTAATCCTCCTGTCTCGGCCTCCCAAAGTGCTAGGATTATAAGTGTGAGCCACTGCGCCTGTCCTGAGTTTTATAGTGTTTTAAAGTCTACATCTTTCTTTTTGTCTTTGTGGGGTAGTTCAGAGCAAATTTTTTAAAACAAATTTTTAAATTAGGAAAATTCATGAATGATTTATGTAGTCTTGACTCATTTCTTTAGATAACTATTTCTGAAGGAGATAGCCCTTAAAAATGTGTTTCTTGAGGATGGTAACGTGTCAAATTTCTTTTTAAAAACCATAAGCTTAACAAATATTAGGGATTATTTTCATTAAAGTTAATTTTTCCCAATGATTATGTGGATACAAAAATTTATAGTCTGAAAGTGCCAGCATTCCTTAGGGAGCCTGAAGAACATAGCATCTTGTTGATGTTTAATAATAATGTATCTTATTATTAACATTGACTTTTTGTCTGTTTTTAGGATTTTCTTTGCCTTGTACAGAAGATGTACCAACTTGTGGAGACAGTTGTGACAAAGTACTTGAATGTGGAATTCATAGATGTTCACAGCGTTGTCACCGAGGTCCCTGTGAAACATGTAGACAGGTTAGTCATCTTGTGTAATAATTACTTTTACGAACTACCTATCATAATATATCAAATGAGATTGTCCTGTGGTTGTTTTCTATTACTTATTTTCATATACATCTGTGTCATGATCTATATGAATTTAGTGACCTAATATTAGGGTAAGAAGCGGGAGAGTACAGACATACCATGTTTTATTGCATTTCACTTTATTGTGCCTTGCCAATACTGTGTTTTTAATAAATTGAAGATTTATGGTAAGCCTTTGTAAAACAAATCTTTCAGCTCCATTTTTCCAACAGTATGTGCTCATATCTCTGTGTCATATTTGGTAATTCTTGCACTATTTCAGACTTTTTCATTATCATTATATCTGATATGATAGCCTGTGGTCAGTGATCTTTGATGTTAGTATTGTGATTGATTGGGGGTGCTGCAAACCATGCCCATATTAGACAGTGAATTTAATGGTTACATGTTGTGTGTGTGTTCTGACTGCTCTACTGACCAGTCGTTCCCCATTCTCTTTCCCTCTCCTTGGGCCTTCCTATTCCCTGAGAGACAACAATATTGAAATTAGGCCAATTAATAACCCTACAGTGGCTTTTGTAAATGTTCAAGTGAAAGGAAGAGTCGCACATTTCTCATTTAAATCAAAAGCTAGAGATGGTTAAGCTAGTGAGGGAGGCAAGTTGAAAGCTGAAATAGGCTGAAAGGTCTCTTGCATCAATTAGCCATGTTGTGAATGCAAAGGAAAAGTTCTTGAAGGAAATTGAAATTGCTACTGCAGTGAATACAGGAATGATAAGAAAGTGAAACAGCCTTATTGATGATAAGGAGGAAGATTTAGAGGTCTACAAAGAAGATCAAAGGAACTATAATATTACCTTAAGCCAAAGCCTACTCCAAAGCAAGGCCCTAACTTCAATTCTGTGAAGGCTGAGAGAGGTGAGGAAGGTGCACAAGAAAAGTTTGAAACTAGCAGAGGTTGGTTCATGAGGTTTAAGGAAAGAAGCCCTGTTCATAATATAAAGGTGCAAGGTGAAGCAGCAAGTGTTGATGTAGAAGCTGTCAGGTTATCCAGATGATCTAGCTAAGGTAATTGATGAAGGTGGCTACATTAAAGAAAAGATTTTCAAGTGAGATGAAATAGCCTTCTACTGGAAGAAGATACCATATAGGACTTTCACAGTTAAAGCTTCAAAGCATCAAAGAATAGGCTGACTTTCTTCTTAAGGGCTAATGTAGCTCCTTAATTGCTCATTAATTGATAATGTAGCTCATTAGTGTAGCTCATAATTGAAGCCAATGCTCATTTACTATTTCAAAAATTGTAGGGGTCTTATAAATTTTGCTGAACCTAGTCTGCTTATGCTCTGTAAATGGAACAACAAAGCCTAAATGACAGCACATCTATTGACAGCACAGCTTTATGGCATGGTTATAAGCCCACTCTTGAGACTCACTGATCAGGAAATTTTCTTTTCAAAATATTACTGCTCATTGACAATGCACCTGGTCACCCACGAGCTCCGATTGCGGTGTATAAAGAGATGAATGCTTTTATGCCATGTCTGCTAACACAATATCCATTCTGCAGCCCATGGATCAAGGAATAATTTTGACTTTCAAGTTCTATTTTTTAAGAAATACATTTCCTAAGGCTATAGCTGCCATAGATAGTGATTCCTCTGATGAATCTTGGCGATGTAAATTGAAAACCTTCTGGAAAGGATTCCTCATTTTAGATGCCATTCAGAATATTCATTATAACAAGAGTAGGTCAAAATATCAACATTAACTGGAGTTCATAAGAAGTTGATCCCAGCCCTCATGGATGACTTCGAGTGTTCAAGACTTCAGTAGAGGTCTAGACTTGAGACTTTAAAGTTGTATATGTCATTTTGGTTTTGACCAGAGTACCAAGTCCACAAGTTAGCTTACTAGGTAATTTAGTTGTTTTGGCTTTACTGAGACAAGAGTTGCCGATGTTATGGTTGTAATGAAATGGAAGTGGTTTTTTTTTTTTTTTTTTTTACTATTTAATATTAGTTTTCTAAATTTAATAACAAATTTATATGAAGTCCTTTTTAGAGCAAAGTAAGATATAAGTAAATGTTTTAGGAAATTCAAATTGGTTTTTGGTACAGTTTGTTATACAAATTTAGTGTTAAAATTTTTGTTCTTTATGTTTTAATAATTGTAAAAGGTGCAATGTGAGGAGAAAATATTAACAAAAATAATTTTAATAGCATTTATTTTATTCTTCCAGGAAGTGGAAAAGCATTGTCGCTGTGGAAAGCATACGAAACGAATGCCTTGTCATAAACCTTATCTGTGTGAAACTAAGTGTGTTAAGATGCGTGACTGTCAGAAGCATCAATGTAGAAGAAAGGTTTGTGTATTAACCTTGGAAACCTCTGATTTAAAGACTGTATTGAATTTCTCCATTTTGGACCCGCAATAAGTGCTGTCTTGAACTCTTTCTCAAATGTTCAGGCATATGCTTTGTTTTAATATATTAATAAATATTCTAGATTAACCTTAATCTAGATAATTTTTGTACTAGTGGGAATTGTACCAGTTTTTTTCAAATGAGAAGTTTCTTGTCCTGTGCGTTGTCCTCTCAGCTTGATATTTCTGATCACTGACTGTTTCTGATCACTGAAATGTATGATTTTCGTATATTTTATATTTGTGTATTTTATAAACCCCAAATACATTGTCTTTACTTTTGCTTTAAATAATCAGTTATCTTTTAAAGAGCTTGAAAAAATAAGAAAAAGTAATTTTTGATATTTATCATCATACTTTTGGTGCTTTTCATCTTTTTGTACAGATTCACATTTCCATCACATTTCATTTTTTTTCTATTCTGAAGGATTTCCTTTAACATTTCTAATAGTGCTGGCCATGAATTCTTTCAACTTTGTATGTCTGAATATAACTTTCTTTAGTCTTTGTGAAAAATATTTTTACTTTAGAGCTCTAGTTTGGCAGTTTTTAACCCCCATACTTTGAAGGTATTGCTCTACTATCTTTTAGCTTGCATTTTTTCCAATAAGTAGTATGCTGTGATTGTTATATTTGTTCCTCGGTACTGATTGTTTCTCTTTTTTTCTGGCTGGTTATTAAGATCTTTCTCTTTATCACGTTTTCAGCAGTTTCTGGTGTTCCTTGGTGTAGTGTTCTTTATGTTTCTTAACTTAGTTTTCATTGAGCTGCTTAGATCTGTAGATTTATAGTTTTTATTATATTTGTGAAATTTTTGGTCTTTATTTCTTCAGATTTTTTTTTTTTTTCTGTTTTCCTGTACCCATCACCTTCTGAGACTTTGAGGACATGTATATTATATGCTGCTTGAATTTCTAAGTTCACAAAAATAAAAAAAATGTTTATTTTTCAGTCTGTTTCTGTTTTAGTTTATATAGTTTTGTCTTCAACATCGCTAATTTTCTTCTGCATTGTCTAATCTGCTTTTTATCCCATCCTGTGTTTTTCATCTGAGAAGTGTATTTTCATCTCTAGAAGTTGGATTTGGGTCTTTTTTATATCTTCCGTGTTTCTCCTTAGCATGTTCATGCTTCCTCTATCTACTTGAATGTTAGATAGGTTATATTTGTAACGTCTGCTTTAATATCCTTGTGTACTAATTCTGTCATCTTTCATTTCTGAGTCTGTTTCTGTTTATTGATTTTTCTGCTTTTTTGGGATTGTATTTTCCTGCTTCTTTGTCTGCTAGATGATTTTTGATTGTTTCTAGACATGAACTTTACATTTTGGGTGCTGGTTCTTTTTGTTTGTTTATTTGTATTTCTTTAAATATTTTTAAGCCTTATTCTGGGACAAAGTTAAGTTACTCAAAAATTCTTTGTTGTTTCAGAGGCTTGATATTTTTAAGTGTGACCAGAACACTCTTTTGTTTAGGGCTAATTTGGCCCCATTACTGAGGCAATAAGTATTCTAAGTACTCTACTTGATGCCCAGGTATTAGAAGATCCTTCCACTCTGGCTGTAAGGAACACAGAGTTTTTCCCAGCCTTGTGTGATCTCTTGAAATTATTCTGCCTTCTCTTTCCAGTGGTTCAGCTTTTGGGTTGTTTCCTCTCACACAATACAGACCAGTACTCAGCCAAAGACCCAAGGAGTTCTTTCTGGAGTTCTTCAGAGCTTTTTCTGTGCTACTGCCTTCTCTCCACAAATTGTAGCCACACTGGCCTCTCTGATTTACGAATGTTGTCTACTCAACTTTGTAAGACAGCCAGATTCTGCTTATGATCTTCTTCCTTGTGCTATAGCCAGAAGTCTTCATGTGTAAGCTGATGGCACTGCAGGCCTTACCTACTTTGTTTCCCTTCTGTTAGGGACTGCCATCTGTGCTGCCTCATTATCTAATGTCTGAAAACTGTAGCTTCATATCTTTTATCTGGTTTGCTGGTTGTTTGAGACAGGAGTGTAAATCTGGTAGTTGTTACTCCATCGTAACTTGAAACAGAGGTGTCTATTGGCTTATTCAAGTCATGGACCACATAACCTTTTCCCCCACCGGCAAAGTGATAGGATAGGCACATAGTATTACTCAATAAACATTTGTCTAATTGAATACACTGTATTGCTTTTTTTTTTTTTTGAGACGGAGTCTTGCTCTGTCGTCCAGGCTGGAGTGCAGTGGTGTGATCTTGGCTCACTGCAACCTCCACCTCCCATGTTCAAGCAATTCTCCTGCCTCAGCCTCCCTGAGTAGCTGGGACTACAGGCATGTACCACCATGCCTGGCTAATTTTTGAAAATAAACTATATTGACTTAATTGCTTTTTAATAATGTATATTTTGTTTTTAGCTATTTTTATATACTGCAACTATACAACCCTAAGTTTCTTTAAGACAATTGTATTCTATATTTCCTTTCCAAAGTTAGGTAAGTAAGAAGTTAAGGAAAGAGTTAAGATGACAATATAGACTTGAAGTGGTTGACTAGTGTCCATGATTGAAAAATTAG